ATCATTCTGTTGAGCCAGTAAAACTTTGTGGCGAGCTGAAAAAGCCATGACACAACGAAAAAAACAAGGAGAGCGAACGCGGGAAATCAATCGAGCGAGAGAACAGCGCGAGAAAGTTGTAGACATTCCAGGTATGCGCAAATTTAGCTTCTCTCATTGCCCACGGCTTACACCTCATTCTCGCAGGTGTGAACAGGTCTCCCATATTTTATGCCCTTATGACTATGCCTCTATGCGCTTTACGCCCACATCTGAACGCACCTTTACATACTTACCGGGATCACGTATTTTCGTTCACATATATTTACATGATTAGCTCAGCTTGTGTCAAAAACTGCAAAAAGCATTAACTGATAAAAATCAAAGCGATATAAATAGTATAGATCTTATGCATGAACTACAGTTTTTGCAAATTTTTGGAGGAAATGTAGCAACTTCGGTTGAAACTCTATGCTATACCGTTGCCAACAACATAGAGGTGCGCAGAAAAGAATTTTTAATATATCTCTAGATACCAGCCCTAGAACACTTTTTGTTTCCTGTTGTAATCACAGTTTGAACCTTCTCGTAAACTACGCTGCGTACAGCAATTTATTCAGTGCAGACGTATTAGATATGTATATTAATTTTTTTTTTAATTTTAAGATAATAAATAGTATTCAGCAACATAGTTGGTGTCCAATGCATTTAGTATATTAATTTCGCTTCACTTGCAGTGTTACTTTTTTATAGCATGTTGTTGTTGTTGACGAATGCTCACTTGTCTGACCTTAGTTAGCCCAAGCCCACGAAATTCCTTGTGGCAAGGGGCGCAAGATACACCTGTCGCTGCCAGCAGCTTTGAGCACCTTACAGGGGACAGTGCGATTTAACTCAGTTTCAGCCGCAATTTTGTTGGAGAGCTGGGGTGACGGGTCCAAGTGTCCACTCTTCTTTTACCACCAACCTTTCGAGAGGACTTTTCCTCGAATATTTAGAATGCCCTTATGCCACATGGACACTATAGATTTACAAACATCCATGTCTTCTCCAGGATTTTTTCCCCCCGTATTAGTATTATGATAATAATGCTTCATTTTAAGTGTTGTAGGACATAAGTAATGTCCCTTTAATATCGTCACTACATACAGGTGCTCGCTAGACATTTGTACGACGGCGCTAATTAGGCTTGGATTAGGCCACGGGCCAAGCCGATAATATATACCATAATGAAAGTAAGTTAATTTTTATGATAAACTGATTTACTTAAGATAAATAAAACATAATGATAAATTTGATAAATATTTTATTTCAGCAAGTTTCCTTTAACTAAAATATTTGATGTGGACAACACATGACTTCTTTGTATGGCCTATTAAATTATACACATTTTTTGCTATATTTCATTTACACTTATTTCCTCAAATTTCATTAGAAAGATATTTTTCATTTAATTAATACAGTTCTCTCGTCCCGTCAAGGCAAAAATACATAAAAACTCAAAACATCATCATTAAAAATTGTAAAATACAGAAAAATGTAAACAAGTACAGTTAAAAAAACAATTTTTATAATTAAAATTAGAATTTCCACACAAAAATAAGCAATTCAGCTAGCGGGCAGGAGGACATATTTTTTGGTGCACAAAATTAAAGTTTACATTTGGTCCCACTCGGCGAAAATACACTGAAGTTGGTGCACAAACTTACTTAATTCTCTATTCTGCTAACAGTTTCAAATGTAAGCAAATGGCAGCCTCTTTAGTACCACTTAAACAACTTTTAAATTGTTGATAATTCTACAACCATTGCATGCAGATTTACTAAAGATATAAAAACCTTAACCAAATATAAGAACAACCTAATTCAATCACTTTTGAAGCAAAAAAAAATGCACAATTTAACAAAATATAAGAATAAAACCTGAACACACCAAAAAGGGAAATGCACAACTACGTGTTATAGCGGTCCCATATACAAAATTTCAACATTCTGAGACTATTCATTTTTGAGTTATGTGAGACACATACATACATATGTACATCCATTCTGCGAAAGAGAGTCCTTTATTCTGTCCGTACATACAGATGTTAAGCGAAAACATCATTCAGATGGACTCGAGAGTGGTCAAAATGTATATTTGAACTGAAATATGGTACCTAAAATTTTTCCCAATTACAGTACTTCTTTTACTTTGTACAAGGAAATAAAAACTGATACATTTTTATTTCCATTATATAAAATCCAAAACACACTTACTTAAATTTTTAAAAAAATTGATGAAATTTTGAATTGTCTAAACAAACAACTCAGTTACTGAAATAAAAATGAATATCAAATTTTGTTTTATGAATTTCGTTAAGCAAACTCATTTTTGTTTCATGAAAACAAAGCAATTAAATTAATTTTTATTTGCATAGTCTAAAATAAAACACAAATCTCATGTTTCTTGGATGAAGAAAGAATAGACATTAGTATTATGAAGTCAGTAAAACACTTATTATGGTTATTGAATACTTTTCAGAATAAATTAAAAATAATCCCATATATAGCATATAATTACTTTATGTTTATAAGCTAAATATTTTCAGCACCATATTTGATGATATGTTATTGAACTAAATTAGATGAATGTATATGAATACATTAACAGCAATAACTTAATTTTACCACAAGCCTATAAAACTCTTTCACCTAAATTAATTTAATAGCTTTTTTAAAAAATCTATATACCATTCTGCTTATTTTACTTTTTTATTTATAACAACAAAGCAAATAAAAGCAGATAACAGTAAAAATATACAAGTAATAATATAACAGTGAATTTAATTTTAAATAATCTTACAAGAATAAGAAACAGAACATATAACGGCAATTCCAGATAATAAGTCTCAATAATTGGAATTTTGTGCTAGGTACTTATTTACATATGGCAATATATATATATATATACAATCAAAAGTCTTTAATCCGGACTCATCGGGACTTCGGCGATTCCAGATTATAGATCATCAGTTTAAATCTGGTAAGATGGCATGCAGAAATTATAAAATTAAAAATATGAAACCGTAATTTATGAAATAAAGAGCAATTATGATGTAAAGGGTATTAAAATTTACAAAAAAAAAAAAAAAAAAAAAAAAAAAGCTTAATATTTATTTGTTTATTTTATTAAACATTTCTTTCAACGCGCGCGTACGTAAACCATACATTACGCATAGTCAAAATTAGAAAATTGCAACCAGAAAACTATTTGATGTGTATTTGTGATATTTATAATGAATTTGATTTAAGTCATATCAAAGACGGAGTACATCGAGATGAAATACATTTAGTAAGGAATTATAAGCTGAATAAAATAAAAACATCTGCCCTGAAGATAAAGATAGTGCTGACAGATCAACTTCCAGTTCATTGCGCGCCGCGACGTTCCCCCCCCACCACGCAGAGCAGCATGAAATTGATAAACAGATTTTGGAATGGTTAGAGAAACAAAGGATATGCCTTTATCCATTTTTTTGCAGGAATTCAACTTTTTGTTTGATGGACTTCGAAACATGCTTTCGCTTTGTAAATCCTTTGGCAGCTGCAGAATCGGAAATTCTTTTTGACATAATCAAAAATTCAAGCTTACTTTTATAAAATTGCTCTAACAGTCTGCAAAAAATAATAAGCCGGATCCAATTAGAAGATTAAGGAACAACACATTCTGCAACATTAACTGCAATAGATAATTAGATAATTTTAGCTTAGCTTATATCGTCTGTTACACATTAAACGCGCATGCGTAAACGTATTATGCGCATGCGTAAACGTATTATGCGCATGCGTAAACGCATATGCACATGCGAGGAAAGTCTGTAGCTTTGAGGTCCGGATTATAAATCTTTCCGGATTATGGACGTCCAGATTAAAGACTTTTGACTGTATATTTTTTTTAATGATCTTAAATTCACTTAGTTCGAAAACAAGCTTTTCTAATACTTGCACAATAGCTGCAAAGTAAGATAATAATAATTTATTTACTAAAGAAATATTGATTATATTATCTCCTAATATAAATTTCATAGAAGTATCAAAAAAGAGTGAACCCAAATGTAGGAAGTTCAATTCCGAAAATTGTGTTTTAAAGTAACTGAATCTAAATTATTAAATTTTGTATGATCTTAAAATCTCTTAGTTTGAAAACAAGTTTTTCTAATACTTGCACAATAACTTCAAAGTAAGATAATACTAATTTATTTACTAAAGAAATATTGATTATATTATCTCCTAATATATAAATTTCTTGCCCATTTCTTAATAACAATACCAGTGACGATTTGTGCTATAATTCTTTTTGAAATACAAAAAAGTCACAGGTTTTAAAGCAAAAGTTAAATTGCTAAGTTACAATTATATCTCAAAAAAGCTGAATGGTAAGCAACTTTTCATTGATAACAAACTGATGTCTATATTCATTTTAAGGCAAAATAATAATAATAATAAAGTTTCATTCACTTTTCAATAAATCTTAATTCAAAGCAGTTGTAAATATAAATAACATAAATTGTAATCTATTAAGTAAAACAAAATTATATATTTTTTATTACTACGTAAGTATAAAACTAAGGTAGTCAGATTTTAAAATAAAATGCATATGTCTTAGGTGTGATACTTAAAAGTTATCAGGTATATATATATATTTCTAAAATTGTTAATTTAAATCTAAATTTCTAAAATTGTTAATTTAAGCAAAAAACTAAGAAGCAAATTAAAAAATAAGAGAACATTATAATGCAGTAAAATTAAAAGTTTAATTAAAGATTAAATAATATGTGTTGTGTGTACATTACTTTCAAAATTAGAATTTAATTCATTTTCAAATTATATATAGTATATTTTTAAATTTTACCAATTATTTTTAATGTAGACAGGTTTTTCAGAAAGCAAATTTATAAATAATAGTAAAAACTATATGCAAGTTTGAATAAAATGAATAATAGTTTATTGAAAGATAGCATTAAAAATTAAAGCACTTACATTAACATACGGCACTTTAAGCACTTCATGAACTTCCTTTACTAATGCTTCAGGTGCTGCAGCTCCCCCAATTACAGCTTGAAAAGCAAGAAATGATTAATATGCTGTTCAGACAAAATCTTTAATCTAAACTGACACTTAAATTACTCAATTAGAGTTATTTTCCTCAATAATTTTCCTTAATATAAAAGGAAAGTGCTATAATGCAAAATAATTTATACAGAATGGTTAAGGAAAACATTAGTACTCAATTTAAAATTATGTAAGTAAAACAAGAATTACAAACTATTGCTCAGCTATTTTGCAACTCACACTACAATCAAAAGTCGTTAATCCGGACTCGTCGGGACTTCGGCGATTCCGGATTATCGATTTTTCCGGATTACAGATCATCAGTTTAAATCTGGTAAGATGGCATGCAGAAATTATAAAATTAAAAATATGAAACCGTAATTTATGAAATAAAGAACAATTATGATCTAAAGGGTATCAAAATTTACAAAAAAAAGCTTAATATTTATTTGTTGACCTTATTAAACATTTCTATCAATGTAAGTTGTTTAAGTTGCTCCGTTTTTAACGTGATAATGCTTTTTCTTTAATTCTATAAACAGACATCATTTCTTGTTCAGTTACAAAGTTCCGCTGCTCAAGTTCTATAATTGCTGTGTCGAGAATACCGACTTTTCGTTTTCAATACCCTCTGTGTCACTTTCTTCGCTATCGGAAGCGAATTATAATGACGAGGAATTTGATTTAAATCATATCAAAGACGAAGTACATCGAGATGAAATACTACATTTAGTAAGGAATTATAAACCAAATAAAATAAAAACATCTGCCCTGAAGATAGGATAGTGCTGACAGATCAACTTCCAATTCATTGCGCGCCGCGGCGTTCTTCCCCGCCGCAGAGCAGCGTGAAATTGATAAACAGATTTCGGAATGGTTAGATAAACAAAGGATATGCCTTTATCCAATTTTTTCAGCAATTCCACTTTTTGTTTAATGGACTTCGAAACATACTTTCGCTTTGTAGATCCTTTACATATTAGTAAATATATATCGGAAATTCTATTTGACATAATCGAAAGTTCAAGCTTACTTTTATAAAATTGCTCTAACAGTCTGCAAAAAATAATAAGCCGGATCCAATTCGAAGATTAAGGAACAACGCAATCTGCAACATTAACTGAATTAGATAATTTTAGCTTAGCTTATACCGTCCGTTATACATTAAACGTGCATGCGTAAACGTATTTTGGGCATACGCACACGCATATTCGCAGCCGTAAAGGTCTTACGCGCATGCGTCAACGCGAGGCATTCGCAGAAAATTTGCAGCTTTGAGGTCCGGATTATAGGTGTCCAAATTAACGACTTTTGACTGTATTATCATTTGCTCATTTTCACGAAGATTTTAATAATGATACTATTACATATTTATTGTGATTAACCTAATTATATTTCATAAAACGCGCATATTTTCTAAATTGATTTTTGGCCATTATAAGCTTTTCCAATACAAGGCCATTGAAAAAGAATGTCAAAATTATAAAAGATTATTGCTTTAAAATGCCATATTCTTAAGTGTAAAAGCCTTACTCTAAATTTTTACTTCTAAATTTAAAAAGAAAAAAAATCTTGAGGATAAGCTACGGATAGCCCATCTATATTTTTTTTTTTTTTTTCTTTTGGAGGTGTGAAACCAGCTAAAATGAAAATAGTACTTAACACAAACTGAGACAAAATTTTCATTATCTGACAAAAAGAACATGTTTCTGTGTTTACCATATCTTATTATGTACTTATTTCTAATCATTTCCGTATATAAGCTGTATCTGATTTTCATTTGCTTTGGGGGGGAAGTGTGGCTTATACATGAGAGAATATGGTATTATACATATTGAAATAATTAGCTTTAGGAGATCCAAGGCAAAAATGCTAAAGAGAAATTTTCCAAAGCCCATGTTAAGAGGAAAGAACTTGCAGTATCAGGGGATCTTGATGTTAACAAGTAGTACTACAGAAAGATTTAGAGGATGTTGTTTTACTTTAATAAACTTTTTTGCAGGAAAATTTCAAGAACATTGCATAAAATGAAAAACATCATGATCTCAAGTACGTACTGCAGTGATATGCAGCTGTCACTGTAATTGTAACTTTATAATTTAGTTAACTTAAGCGATGCAAAATACAATTCTGAAATCTGGCACACAATAACACAGCAAACATTGAAATGCATTGCATAGAACATTTCATGAGTAATATGTTTTTATAATCCAGTCCATTTTTTAAGAAATGGAGGCATGATCTTGTTATTTTTTATATAATGTTCATTATTAAAATTGAAATACTTACAAGAAGTGGTGATTCACAAATATTCAAATGCAATATAGCACTACATAAAGTTAAATGAAAAAAACTGTTCTTCTCAGGCTTAAAAAGATTATGCATTTATACATTATAAACATCCTGATCAATTCTGTTAGTGTGAAAAATCAGCATGACAATTTTCTTGGAACATAAGGATAGTAGCAATATTTACACCGCATATATAAGCAACAGTTAACTAATTTGTGACAGCTAGCCTATATAAATCTTAAGCATTTAATAACTCAAAAAAAATTTTGCAATAAAAGTGAAAGGTGACTAAATCCTATTGCTGCAAACGGATGCATATTTTGAAGACACTTTAGGCTACAAGGCCCTATGATTAATGCATAACAGTACCAAGAGATGCAAAGTTCTTAAGAAATTAGCATTATAGAGCAATCTGGATGATACTGGACTTCTTTGGGAATACTGTTCTAATGTTACCATAATTCAAGAAATATTTGACCATTTTGAAATATATTACTTCAAGCAATTTCTTTTTCCTAAATTCAAAAGGATTCAGTGGAAAAATTTATAAGAATGGTGACGACTTTGGAGAATGAAATTAACAAATAATTACTTAGGTTAGATAAAGAAAGTTTTAAAACTTGTAAACGTATGAAACAAAAGCTAAATACACTGCTGGCCATTAAAATTGCAACACCATGAAGGAAAGCAAACACACAAAAAAAAGGTATTTATTGTACGTAAACAGTATGGCATGAAGACAAAATGATTAAATTTGCAAGCAATTTGGGGGTTTACAGCGGTGTGAAATTAGTATAAACTACTGCCACCCCTCGCAGCTAAAATGGCCTTTCGCATGGAGTCAGACTGGGTTTGGATGACAGAAACGGGCAACTCATTCCACGCTACTTCAAGTCTATGTCACACCTCATCAACGGTATAAGCTGGAGAGTGGTGGCGGGCCAGTCTCTCAGCAACACATGACCAGATGTTTTCAATGGGTCACAGATCTGGAGACCATGCAGACCTTGAAGATAGGGCACAACCACTGGATGTAAGATGTCAGAAATGTGCCGATCTACATTCAAATTACTGTCAATCTGAACTAGAGATGTGCATGTCATGTACCCAGTGGCTGCCCAAACCATCACACCAGGTGCAGGGCTCTTATGCCGATATCGAATGCAAGTAGGCGGCATGTGGTCTCCTCGGAGCTTCCAGACACGCATACGCCCACCAGAATACTGCATGCAGAACCGGGACTTGTCTGAAAAGACGATACTATGGAACTCCTCTATCCAGCATTGTTGTTTGGTGCACCAAAGTTGCCGTCTCTATCTATGCTGCGTAGTCAAGGGAAGCCGAAGTAATGGTCGCTGTGCTGATAGTCTACGCACCATACGAGCGGATACTGAGCATGCTGCAAACATGCTTATTTCCTGACTAATGAACCGTGATGTAGTTGTACGGTTTTGCTGGGCTGACCTCACAATATGTCTGTACTCGAGGGCATTGAGATCCTGCATGCCATTCAGTAAGACCCTCAGCAATCCATTGATTCCATATTCACATGACAATGGTTGAATGTCCACCAATGCGATGGGCGATATCATGGAATGATAATCTACACCCTCTATAGGCAATGATCCTGCCTCTATCGAATTTCGATAGTTGATGGTAAGCTTTTCTTATTATTATTCAAGGCATAACAAGATATTCTGAGCAAACTAAGACCTTACAAAGCGCTTTTCGAATGAGAAATCCACTACACAACTTTTCTTTTATGCAGTGCTTCAGATGTCATTTCTCCTAGAATTCCTTGAATTTGACCTAGATTTTGAATAAAACTCTACACCAAGCTAAGGTTGATTTTTTTGCCTAATTTTAAATTCTAAAAGTTTTTAACTTGCTTTATCATTTAAAGTTTATGTGCAGTATTTATTCAATAACATAATCCTCACTAATTTACAAATGCACTATTTAGATTTTCACACGTGCAAAATGTAATGAAACATGTAACTTTCCACCAAACAAAACACTGAATTTCTATGATAGAAATTCTTATATTATGCATTAATTTTCTTTGTTAAATGAAAAAAAAAAAAAGTCTAAAAATGCTTGTAGGAATTAAAGCATTAATTTACTATCCTATGTTAACTTTTAAATGGCATATGTAAATATGCAAGAATATCTTCAACAAAGCTTTTGTTTGTGAACTTAACAGCTTTCAAATATTAACACTTTGTTCTGAACTGTTGGCAGTTATATCTCAGTTTCTTAAATCATGTTTAAAATCTGATACCTTAAAAATTAAGAGTACAAATTTTATATAAATATTAATTTAAATTTCAATTAAAAATTTAATATACCTTGTTTTAGGGATGAAATGGAGGACTTAATTAACCTGTGATTATTTAACAAATCAACAAACATCGTCGGTGTTCCATATACTGTTGTACATCTGCAAGGAAATATATGAACACATAAAAATAATAATATTTAAAAACAACAAATATACAATGGTACTTCAGTATACACATTATTAATCCATTCAAGATCTTTGGATTTATACCAGACGGGACATATAAAAAATGAATGTTTTTCACGAAGAAATAAAGGGAAAATCAGTAAAGGATTCATTTATTCTAACAAGTCATTTTATGTTTAGCATCTTTACTGTCATATTTTATTTCCATTTTCCTGCCTGAATGCTGATTTTTAGTTTGTGCATATTTACTCAGTAGAAAGAGATTTAAGGTAAATGAGGTAGAAAGAGTATTTGAAGGGAAGTTTTAGATTGTTTAATCAGAGCATGTTATACCCGCTGAACACCATGTTGCTAGTTGAAATTCTACAATAGTAGTCTGTTTTCAGCACTGTTTTATTCTTGCCAATAATGCTCGCCATGCTGGTATAGGTTTGAGACAACTTGCACATTAATTATGTCTGTGTAGCCTTTGGCTAACTTTTAAATTTAAGCTACTATTTAATTACTTTTAATTTTAACTACTATTTACTGTTTAACTTTTAAGCTACTATTTAATTGTAGTTTTAATTTGAATTCATTACTTTTGAGTTACCCATAAATGCTGGCTGGTTTTGTAAGCACAAGAAGTGCCTTCTGTTAAATATTTGATTTCTTAATAAAAAGGCCTTTTACAAACTTTTTACACTTCTCTATTTTCTTACTGGACATAGCGATAAATTGCTTAGATCCGTCTTCTAGTTTCTTCATATCCAGTTGTAGATGGATTCCAGAAAGTTCAATTTCACGCTTAAGAAATCCATACCCAAGATTTTGGATGTTTGGATACTTTTCATAGCATGGAATATGACCTTTTTTTTCTTTTCGCTCTTAAGAAATCTATACCTAAGATTTTGGATGCTTGGGTACTTTTCACGACATGAAATATGATCTTTTCTTTCTTCATTGTTAACTTGAACATACAAAGCTACTTTACCTGTGCATGTTCATTGCATGTCTTGAGCAGCAGTAACTTTTATTCCCACTATGTTGAATAGTCTATACCTCTATATCTTCTTAAGTATTTGCAGAAAAAATATGATGATAGAAAACTAAATGGAGCCCCAGTGTCTAGCAGTGAATCTGCTAGGACATTATTTAGCGATACCTTCACTACTGGCAATGCCAAATTTTTAACAATTACAGTATTTAATTGAATTTTAGAGGGATTTTCTTGCTTCCGGAGTAACTGTACCCTTTCATCTTCAGTATTCCTGCCTAATTAAAATTTTTCTTATTACTTTTCCCCTGTTTTCTCTTTTGCCCTTCATTTTGGCTGCCACCGCTAACGGTTGAATCTTTTTGTCTCTTATCAAATGCTTATTATGGCCAAACTCTCGCCTTCGCTAAGGCGCAGACGTAAAACTTTTCCCATTTGGCCTATTGCCATAGCCTGCAATGCATGTCTTTTCTGCCTTGCGTGCGTTTGAAATTGGTGGTGAGCTCAAATAGATTCTCAAAAGTCATTTGATTTTTCAATCCGAAGGAATCGTGTATTTGAGGCAGCGACCTAGGTAAAATTGTTTGTAATGTGCCATCATCAAGCCTCTTGCCTTGAGTAATGTTACTCGGGTTTTCCACAAGATAAGATCAGTTAATTCTTCAACTTTAAACTGAAACTTGCTAAAGAGTTCTGACCTGAGCTTAGCCCTGTCTTTTACAACGGGGAATGCTTTAATGAACACATTCTTAAGTACTTCAAATGTTTAGGTATTGCTCTCTGGCTAACCCAACACAAATTTGCCGATACATTTATACCAACTAGAAGCCTGTCCTCATAGGGCGGCAGCTGTATCTTGTTTTGCTTCTGGCACTAGATACAGTACAAAATGATAATTTAACTATTCAAGGAAATTAGTGAGGTTTTCCCATCGAAAGTCACTGTGAGTTTCATAGCAGCCCATATGGTATCCACAATAAATCCAAATCCCTCCATGGGACTAACTGATGCCGGTGAGGCTTGTGAAGTTCAGCAGAACAAACTAAGGATTTTCTCGAGCCATGGTCCTTACAGTAGTTTAGGCGCCCAATGTAGAGTCTCATTTTCTTGGAAAGCATACATTAAATCGAGATGGAAGAATATAGCCACCGGTGATTGACATGGACCATTTAGGTGCGGAAGAAAAGAAAAAGGTTGAGAATTTAGTAAATCAGTTTTCTACCTTGTTTGATAACACACCTGGCCATACTCAGATTGTGAACCTTAGCATTGATACTGGCAACGCGGCCCTTGTAAGAGCAAAGCCTTAACATTATCACAAAACAAAAATTCAAATTATAGAACAGCATATTCAGGAAATGCTAAGAAATAAAGTTATAACGCCAATAAGTAGCTCTTACACTAGCTCAGTAGTGCTGCAAAAAAAAAAAAAAAAAAAAAAAAAAAAAACCTCCCACTTACTGACTTTAAAGCATAGCATTTTGCAATTGATTACTGAAAACTTAACAGTATGACTAAGTGCAATGTCCATCCCCTTCCCATAATTGAAGAAATTATTCGTAAAGTCAAATCTATGAAATTTATGACTACTTTAGATCTGACATCCGGTTTCAAATTGGCGTAAAGCCAGACAACGTTCTGAAAACCACATTTATCACAAAGTTGAGTGTTTATGTCTTCCTAAGAATGCTTTCGGCTTTAGCAGAGCCCCCGCAACTTTTCAAAGAGCTATGGACATAATTTTGAGGCCTATGCACACTCAGAGTGTGGGAAAAATTTCAAGTGCATTTTTTCAAGTATATAAAGAAGTCCGCACAGAAGGTTCTATGAAGGAAGCAACCAGCGGAGAAAATTTAAACACCACAAAGGAAGGCATAAAAATTCCAGTAATCCGATTCTCTTAAGTTCCAGCTGAAAGTTCTCGCAGAAACTTTAAGTCCAACACCATATTCTCAATCTACAGAGCAAGCAGCGAAGTCAAAGAGTCTACAAGGATGGAAAAAAGTAAGGGAATTCTGGGAAGGAGCCCAGAAGAGGAAATGGAATACTCAACCAGACGGTTAGACCATGCCCTGGAGACGAATTAAGAGTGTTGCAAGTAAACTTCTACCATTTGTAGGAGGACTTCATTTCCAAATGAATGCAGGAATTCTGAAAAATCAAAAGATAAGTGAAATTTATTTTCCTTCGCAGATTCAGCTTCTTGTTGAAATCACAACAGTTGCAATTTATTTTAAATTTTTCCTCAAGTGAGATCATTTCAGTTGCTTTTAAAGAAGCAAGAATCTCTGAATTTATATACGCATTTATTTGCACTCATTTTAGGCTAGTCTATAAATACAAATTTTGTTTTAGTGTAAGAGACTGACGTGAGAAGAATTTGGCGAAATTGTAAAGTAATTTTAATCAACTTATGTACATACGACATAAAGTTCAAGTCAAATTCTCTTAATATAATGTATTGTAAATGTTTCATGTAATGTAGTATGTCTAATGTTTTAGTGCTGCAAACGTGAAAAATGCTATTAAAGTATGTGCTAAAACCAATTAAATGTTTGCATGGTTGTAAGAATTAAATCTTGTAGTGTGATTGAAGTGAATGAGTGGATAAATTTAAAGGTTAGCTCTCCAACACAAAAATTTAATCGCCTATTTTGCTAGCATATTAGGTGCAGTTTTGAAATTAAGGTGTTTTTGAGATCTATTGAGTCTGAATTCTAACAAGTAGGATGTGGGTTAGTTGGTAGTGTTGTACCACTTATACAAAAGATGGTTGATCATTCGCATCAGCACATTTCACTGGAAAGCAGTGAGGAAGCGATTTATTGATAGAAAAAATCAAATACATAAAAGTTCCGATAAAATTTAAAGGGAAAAAAGTTCAGATAAAATTGTATGAAGAAGCTTTTGATAAAATATTTAAATAAGAAAAGGTTCAGAAATGCTGAAATAAACTGAAGTAATATAAATAGGCTACATTACTTAAATTGAATTCAACCAAATTTTTCCACTAAAATTCTTTTTCATTAGCAGCTGATTTATTGTTAACATAAACTGACGAAAACTGCTTGAAGAAGATTCAGCTCTTTGTCATTTAGATGTGTAAGATTAGATTTAAGATAATTGTAAATTCTATTGTTTGTAAGAATCCTTCCTTTGGCTCATGGTTAGTTAAAATTTAAGATCTTAACAAGATCACTAAAGACTTCCATTATGATTACTTAAATTCCGGCAGGGAAAGTTGCAAAGTATTCATTTATTTTATCTACCCAGTTATTTTATGTTCAATAACTTTACTGTTATTTTCCCTTTATGTTTTCCTGCTAAAATTTTAATTTTTAGTTCATGTGTATTCAAATGAGGTAGAAAGAGTAGTATTTAAAGGGATGTGTTAGATTGTGTAATCAGAGCATGTTCCACTCACTGATGGCCACATGAATTTGAAATTCTACAGCAGCAGTCTGTCTTCAGTGTTGTCTTTATTTCTGCCAATAGTGCTTGTCATGCCAGTATAGGTGTGAGCCAATTTGCTCATTAATAATTTCTGTGTAACCTTTGGCTAACTTAAGATTTAATAAAGTTTTAATTTGAATTATTGCTTTTGAGTTATGCCATGAATCCCGGCTGGTTTTGTAAGCACAAATATGCCTCCCAAGAAGGTGAGACTTTATAAATCCATCCTTATAAAAGAATGCTGTTGTTATTATTAAAATACTGTTTAATATTAAAATATATATGCAGTGGCTGAAATACATGCTGCACATAGATAAAATAATGAAAGTAATACTGTATATAAATGAAATAATGAAAATAATATTGTACATAAATGAAATATTCTATGTGAAAATTTTTCTGTTATCCAGATAGAAAACAATTCCTTGGCGTCCTCTAATATCTCTGTTTGGTAATCAGCTTCATCCCCTTTGCAGTCTTACCCAATTAATATCATTGTTGTTTTTCACAGTCATACAGTGGCATAGGAAAGGGGGCAAGGGGTGTATGATGCCTCGGGCACCGCTCGCAGAGGGGTGCCAAATGATCTCCAAGCAAGATTTTCTGGAAAATTTCAGTTTTTATTTTGATCAATTTCTGGAAATATATTTAAAATTAATAATTATTGTAATATAATTATTTATTTTCTTGATTTTTCTGCTAAAATGTGTAATAAAATCTCTCCATACAAAACATTCTTTCTGACCACTTTATTTCTCTAAAATAGAGATATATTTTTATTTTTTTTAAACGAAATGCACGTATAGCTCCCGCTTTTTATTTTAAAACGATAACCCGGCCTTGTCCCGAATTTTTTAAACATATCCAGTTTTCAGAAACCAATTCCATAGTCTGGAAATGACATTTTGGGAAACTCCTAATGCTTCCGCTACAGAGGATTGCGTTTGACTCTCCTGTAAACAACTGATAAGCTTCCTGGCTACAGATTCAATAAGTCACCAGACTGGGACACTGTATATTCCCTGCTACAAAGCATTCAATGTGTGTCAATTGTTTTTAATCTCTTACTACAAAAGGAAGGATGCAGGTCGCTCTTTACACCTTATCTGAAACACATAGTTTTCGACGTCACAGACTAAATTCGCATATTCCTAACTTTGTAAACATCATAATTTTCCTTTATAATCTCTTCTATTTCCTTTTGTCGAAAAGGTTGTCGATTATGTGAGTATTTCATACTGAACTCACAATATCCCCTAATTGTTTTGAATAGTAACTGTGACTGCAAGATGTTACTCCGCAGTATTAAAGAAACTGAACCTAAAACTCCTTTACGGATCTATGGAGAAAATGTTTTTCCAAACCTAAGAGTCACACTTCAAATACTCCTTACTATTTCAATTATCAAATGCTAGCTGTGAACCTTTGTTCAGCAAATTAAAATAAATTTTGACAGATTTACAATCAACGATGGGACAAGATCTCCTAAGTCTTGTAGCATTTTTAAATGTGTAAAGAGAAAAATTTGAAAGGATCAACTTTGATGAAGTTGTTGATAAAGTTGCTTCATTTAAGGTAAGAAAAATGTATACATAGTAATTAATTGTATTAATGTATTATACAGTAATATTATATTATTAATAAATATATCTACTTATCTATAATACATACAAAACTTTTAATTGTTTAAAAATTGTACTTTTTAAAAACAATTATACAAATATGTAAAATAAATAATACCGTTTACTAATTCTAGATCATCGTATGTCTGCTTTTATCGCTGACACAGATACCTTTCCAAATCCAATGCTAGTGTAGTTAGGTAGTGACTATTCTTAATATGTTTTAGAGTACTTTTTTTTAATCTCAGATTCAGCATTTTATTATTATTTGCATTATTTTCTTATTACGAAGATATTCTATAGATTATATTACTGTGTTTTTTTTTGGGGGGGGCGCCAAAAAGGTATTTTGCCCCGGGCGCCAGTTATGCTCACTATGCCACTGCAGTCATAGATACCATCATTCTCAGTGTACGGTATGCAATAGCCAAGTTCTGGATATGCATGCCAACTTTGTTACTTTCCAGAAATCTCTTTTTTCGTATCTTTGACTGTCCTAACCATTTTCTTCATTGCATGACTTATTTCATTAACTTACTTAGAACTCATTTGCTAATGAATGAATTTACAAAAACATTTATATGAATAAATATAAAATTATGTGAAAATTCAGAGTTATAGCATAGGTTGTTCACTGAATAGTTGCAAAACTATGTTAGTGCACATAGGCAGTCTCAAAAGAGATAAACAAGGGTAGTGTCATATTAGAGACTCATCGAACTCGAGTTATATTCCAACCAAATATCATATATCAAACAATTTTTTTTAAAGTCCAAACAGGATATATACAAAGTTGGATTTATTTTAAAGCAGATGTATACTGAGATACCACAGTATAGTTAAAAACATATTACAGAAAATAATGTTTATGAATCATTTTCTTTAGAAAAATGGGGGGAAAACTGTTACAGACAAAGGAAAATCACACTGTTACAAAAATAATTATTTCATATATTTCTGTACATTCTTCTATTATATATTGAATAACTCAATATATATATACATAATAAGTTAGTTTATTATGATAAATGTATATATGCAATTTTTTATTTTATATTTATGATAAATATATATTTATTTTGCATAGTACAGGGTGATTATAATTAAAGTTTAAGTTTAAAAACGCTATAAAAAAGAACCACTGATGAAAATGATGTGAAATTTGAAAGGAATGTTATTGAAGAAGGCGGAAAGCGTATGGCAGAAGAAAAAATTTAGTTTCAAAAGTTAGCAACAGATGGCGCTGTAAGCGGCAGAATCACGACGAGAAATGATTCGTAAAACAACGGCTAAGGTGGAAGTTACACATTAAAACGCATTGACAAATTAGAATTGTTGAATAATTTTATTTGCATGACTGTACATATCACATCGAAAGGGACAAATCGGTTTCAAGAGTTTTGCGGCGACATACCGCATAAGAACCATTCATCAAAGAAGTTCGGAACTGTCGCGAGACTGGCGCAAAACATGTTCAATATGGTGTCCACCGTTGTGTGCAACAAGTTGAAAGCGACAAACAGCATGTTCCACAACGGATCGCAGTGTCTCCGGGGTGATGTTCAGAATGTGTTGCGAAATGCGTGCCTTTAATTCCGCTAAATTTGCAATTGGAGCACGGAACACAACATCCTTCAGATATCCCCACAGCCAGAAATCACACGGAGTAAGATCAGGCGATCGGGACGGCCAGGCTGTAGGGAAATGACGGCTGATAATTCGAGCATTTCCGAAATGGCGCCTCAGCAGCTGCTTCACAGGATGTGCAATGTGCGGAGGAGCGCCATCTTGCATAAAAATGATTTCATCCACACATCCACGCTGTTGCAGAGCTGGAATCACGTGGTTGCGCAAAAGAGACGCATACCTCTGACCAGTGACGGTTGCGGTAACAGGACCGGAAGCACCCGTCTGCTCGAAAAAATGTGGTTGTAGTAATGAATGATGTCGTAAAGACACACCATACCGTGACCTTTTCAGGATGAAGTGGTACGGGGTGCTTTGCCAGTGGATTTTCTTTTGCCCATGTTCGACAATTCTGGGTATTCACGTATCCTGTCAGATGGAAATGGGCTTCATCTGTCCACAAAATTTTCCACGGCTATTCATTATCCACTTCCATGTGAGCCAGGAATTCTAACGCAAACGTCTCCCTAGCTGTCAGGTCAGACGGAAGCAACTCCTGCACATGGCCAATTTTGTACGGATAGCATTGCAGGATGTTTCGTACAATTTTCAGCACCGTGCTCGTAGGCCTGTCCAATGTTCGGGCAATTCCTCGTGCACTGCACGGTTGCACACCACCGGCCGACCCCTCCTGTAATGCTGTGGCCACTTCTTCAACTACCGTCGAATGCACTCGTTTTCTCCCTCTACCAGATTGCACATCAAACGAACCTGTCGTTTCGAATTTTTGCATCATTTTCTTTAGACCTACGACACTCATTGGACCAACGCCTTCTTTTATACCCTTCAGTGTCCTGAATTTTTGCAGAGCTACTCTTGCACAATCATCATTCTTGTAATACAGCTTTACCAGCAGAGCGCGGTCCTGCAGTGAAAACACCCATGGCGAACGTCTGAGACGCGAAATGAGGAACAGCCTGGTACCTGGCGGCTTTATAACACTGAAATTTAACTAACATTTTAATTTACGTCTTCTTCCGCTTGCAGCGCCATCTGTTGCTAACTTTTGAAACTAAATTTTTTCTTCTGCCATACGCTTTCCGCCTTCTTCAATAACATTCCTTTCAAATTTGACGTCATTTTCATGAGTGGTTCTTTTTTTATAGCGTTTTGAAACTTAAACTTTAATTATAATCACCCTGTATATATACTACTTAATTTAATTAATTTTAGTAAGTTAATTTATTATGATAAAGTAAATGGACTATCAGTGCGATGAACAATAACCTTTTGGTGAACTTAACAAGCAAAACTAGCATCAAATTAAATTACATACAGGCACAAACAATAAAGAGGCCATTACTAGAAATTGAATTCATAATTATTGGCATTCACAGGCAAACACCAACTGTTATTGCTGTTCAGTTAGTTTTTAAAAGAAAATAAAATGAATGAAATAAACGTAGAAGAATAAAAAAATGACCGTAACCTTTATCTAATTACAAAAATTGATATAAAAACCACTTTTATAATTTTTCACACATTCTTACTTGTATTTTTCAATTGCTTTCAAAGATGCTTCAGGGTTGAAGCCTGCATAAGGAAAAATGCAGGTACTCTGGAATATAACAGAACACAGTGTACCAAGTACACTTCCAAAGCAATGAAAAAGAGGAACCTGGCAACAGATGATTGGTTTCTAAGGGAAGAGACCAATATTTGAATAGAACTTATGCTGTACACATCAGTGGAAAAACATATTTAAATGGGCAATTTATTGTTTTTGAAAGTTTAAATGCATCATAAAATATACCTTTATTGCAGTTGAAAGAAGATATGGTACTGAGTTACTCTTACAGAGGATTCACATGTCCTTGGGATGAACAATTTTGCCTGGATGCATAGTGATACACATTTTTAAAGTGAATAAGTGAATACAGAGGCTATTTGCACACTTTTTTAGACATTTTGCTTTGCGATAATAAAAAAACTTCAGCTTGAAAAAAAATTTTTTAATGCAACTACTATATTTTTGAAAGTATAAATTATCGTCTGCCACTTGACAGTGGATGGAAGACTATGTTTATGATCTTTCCGAAGAAAATTATTCATATCTAGTTACTAAAAAAAATATTGTGAAAGCCATGGTTTTTTCGATATCTGAAGCTACGATAGGTCATATTGTTAACAATAAAGGAAAAAAAGTCAAAATTTAGCTTCAAGTTCAAAAACTGTTCCAAATATATATCCAAGGAGAAAACGGAATGTTGCAAAAGTAAGATATTTAATGTTAAAAGAAAATCCGTTAAGTCAAAGGACAGTTACAAAATCATCAAAATGCTCAGTCTCAACTGTAAAATGATTAATGCTGATTTGAGTCTTTGAAAGGAGGAAAAACATATTTGCATCTTCTTTCTCCACCACCTACCGCAAAATGTAGAACGCGCTGCAGAATTCTTTATGAGAAACATTTATCCGGACAAAAATGGAAAAATCTTGTCATAATGGATGAAACTTGGTTGTACTCAAATGACTACGATAAAAAGAGATCCATTTATTGACATCAAAGAGGAGAACAAAACCTTAAAATATGGTTCAAGGAATCTAAAGAAAGGTTTTCTAAGGAATTTATGATTGTTGTTGGGTTTTCATATAACGGAAAATTAAAAATAAACAGAGTGAAGAAAAATGTCAAGATCAACTCCACATATTGTCGAAAACATATTTTATACCCAATTTTCAAATATGAAATAGATTCTTTTTACACGCAGTGCGATCAATCAGTCAAACTGCATCAAGACAAAGCAAGCAGCGACACCTCAAAATCTACCGTTAATCTCCTGGATAAAATGGAACAAGAAAAGGGTATCAAGGCCATGACCTTTCACTCAGATTCCTACTAAATCTCCTGATATATCACCAATGTATTTTTGCGCTTTGGTACTTTTAAAAAGCGGCTTGTCCAAATGTCCACCTACAACCACCTTAGACTTTGAAAAGCTGTTCGTGAGCAATGGGATTAAATACCTCTTTTGATACTACAAAAGGCTTTATTGTCTTTGAAATTACGGTGTAGAAAGATAGAGAGAATAAGGGTTATCAAATAAAATGCTTAAAATATAAAAATTATAGGTAAACTATTTCTGTAATTACAATGAAAATCGTCAAAAAAATGTGGAAACAGTCTTTGTATATATGCAAACACTTAACATGCATCTCTCAGAAAAGTAAGAAAATTCAGATTTAAATCCTAACTAATGCTCATGAAAATTTAATTTATCCCATTTGTCGCAAGGATGAAAAGTTTGTTTGACAGCCTAGAATACTTTAGACAAGAAGTTCACATTTTAAATCCATGCCCCAGTAACAACTTTTTTTTTTTTTTAAATTTTATTTTTTTATCAGTATTAAAAAATTTTTACGAGTTATTTTATTTTGAAAGAAAATTTATTCATGCAAAATATTTTTAAGGGAATAGCACAGAAACTTGTTTTAATTTTTAAAAATTTAGCTATAATTAAAAAATTTAGCTGGGCTTTTCAAGTTATGGATTCTGGAATATCAAACAGAGCCTTTTGATACATTGAGAGTATCACACGGGAAGGAAATATACAGATACATTGAGAGTATCATATGGGAAGGAAATGGGCTGACATTGGTGTCAGCTTATAGGAAGATTCCATCTCATGGTCTGACATCCACAAGTTAGGTAAGTCCATGGATAAGAAATAGTTGACCCATGCTAATGTCAGCTCCCTGAAGTCCTTTTCCCCCCTTTAGTAGACCTAGCTACACTACTTTGTGACTGGAGTCTGGTCAATTCCATTTTGCTAAAGGTTGCAAATGGTTGACAAAGGTTGCAAATGGTTGACAGGTATTCTGTACTCCAGTAACTCAAAAAATTAGCTTCAAGTTTCATCTAGAAGACAAAAACAAAGAACTTATATTACTTTGGAGTTCAAATATCAACAAATGGGAAATTCCTCTTCAGAAATAGTCAGAGTTAATGCCTGAAGATCTAGTAAATAAGTAGATAGTAGTTATAATAATTGAAAATTTAAATAAGCTTCAATTTAGAAAATTAAAGTTATTCAAAATTTAAAATTATTGTTTTGATGATTTTTATCAAATTTCTCTTCTCTGAATTTATATTAGCCTATCATAAACCATGAACATGCAGGAAAGCAGAATGAATTAAATTCTATTTTATACATTCTTCAAAACATAAGCATTGAGCAGGATCCAATTTGCAAATTTTAAATAAACTAAGACATGCTTTGCTACCTTAAAATCTATAATGTTACTACTCCAAGTAAAAGAAGTATTTAAATCACCATGCAATAAATCTTCCAAGACATGCTATAAAGATATCAACAGATAAATCTAATACCATACCTAAATGAATAATTTTGCATTAAAGCATATAATATATGACTTTAAAGTTAAGTAAAGTTTGAATATTAAGTAAAGTTGGAAAGACTTTAAAGAAAAGTTTAATAATTTCAAATTAAATTTACAGTAAGAATTTAGTCCTAAAAAATCCATACTTTTTGAAATTGTCTGGTTACTACAGTTTTTCTACAAGTCAGTCACTCAACATTTGGTTTATGGTTTAAGTTGCAGCCCAAAAGCAAATCATGAATCAGTTTATAACATACAACCCTAGAAGGTATCTAGTAAAACTGTTTAATAAGATAAAGCATTATTTAAATATCAGATGAAGAGATTGCTTATGGTAATAATCTATGAGCAACTCAGTAAAACCGTATTTTTGGGGTAGAAAGCAAATGGCATTTCTGAACTTTTGGAAGCCTTAGAGAGATTTAATATCCCACCAATTTTCAAAATATCATCTTTATCAAGAAATATTTTAAAGATAAAACTTTCTTATCATTAGGTACTGGTCATTTTAACAAAAGAAATATTGAGTTTTAGAAACTCAGTATACTTTACACATTTGACAAGTCTTTGGTAGTGTTCTACAATTCAGAACCTAAAAAATGACATTTTTTTCTTAATGGTAGACCAATTCTGCAAATTTTTACAGTTGTAGAATTATAACAAAAACCAGGCATTCTAATCAGTCGATAAATGGTGAATAATTTTTAATGAACTCATTCTCAAAGAGATTTTTGCCGTTAACTCAGTTTACTGTTCTTCCCTTTTCGAAATTCAAGTTTTTCTCTGTTTTCCAGCTTTTTTTCTAGTTCAGTAAATTTCGGTCATGAACTGATGTTCTGTAAAAAACAGTCCCTGCTATCGCTGATCACTACTTAATAATTCAGCTAATGTTATTCCAGTATAAATAAAATTGGATGGATTGCAATTCTCAAGGCAGTAGGACTATTTAGAAGTACAGATAGTAGGACAGTATCAGTAGGGTAGTAGGACTACTTACTCTTTTCTAACTCCGGGTTTGAAAAGGGATTTAAATCTATATGGAGAGCCTTTGATCCAAAAGTAAGCAACTGATGAGTCAGTACAGAATTATCAAAGCTTTCAATATTCTGCAGCAAATGTTACTTTTTTGTGTAATCAAGCAATTGAAAGAGTACCCATCAATTCAATATGCGATAAAGAAATAATTTTTAATGCAACAAATCTGCTTTTGGATGTCACAAAACTTGTAAATACCTTTCAGCTATTTGGCACTATATGCAGATTAAAAAAAATCTATTTGCCTTCTTGGAAGCATTTGATTAAAGAAAAGCACCTTTTAAAAAATAATGGGTATGTTGATGTTTAACATTTTAACATCATTGTACCAGTCATTCCAAGTTAGGCTTAATTTCTTTAAACGATATTCATCTGAATCTAATCCCAAACACCATACATCTTAAATTAAGCATTTAATCCTAAGTAACAGTAATTTTTTATTTTGTTTTAATTTACTGTATATTTCCAAAAATTTATTTTGCAATTGATAGATGATATTTATCATAGAAAAGTTTAGAACCCAAAATATTGGCATTTGGTACATTAAATAAAATGATGGTTAGTCACAATTTAAATTTTTATGTATGGAATTTGACTACCATCAAACCATAAAAACTGGCGAAGATCCCACCAATTGAGCCAATTGTTTCTTCAGAATTCTGAAGGAGCTAAGAGAACTAATTCCTCTTTATTTAATAACAGACAATATTACCTGCTTTGTTTCTGCACTTTGTAAGAAGGCTTTTGCTGATTAACTATTTTGTTAGGTCCTTCAATTTTACCATAACCCTTGTTTAGAACACTATGAGTACAACCTTCACACAAGTAGACCAGAAGAGAAACCCGCTAATGTGACAATGAAAATCGTAAAAACAACCTTGTATTTAGCGTTTCATAGTTGGACATTTAACCATAATTTTGACTTTGGGTCTGCAAAAATTATCCAAAAGGCTTCTTTCATAGATGAATTGGATTTCCTTGAGGCTTTTCACATTCACAAAGATTTAGCAGGTTTAGTTAATGATTTGAAGTCCAATCCAGTCCTTCCTAATGCCTTTAAAATTCTACTGTCTTAATTCATTATTTTTGCCGACAGATGGCGTTACCTCCTCACGTTTGGTACTACCAGAGGGTATAAAAATCCGTTCAGTGGTTGCTTTCCATTATTTGAAGTTCAGATTTTGAGTGTGAAGGTGCATTTGCCCCTCGCTCCCTATTTTAACTTCGCTAATTTTTCTTGTCCTTTAGGCTTGATCAGATAGCCTGGCTCAGTAAAAGTAGGCGGCCAGTGCAACTCTGATTAAAAATCCAGTTATAACCACGTGCAGTGCTGATAAGGACCACGTGTTTCTGAGAGTCCTCCTCCTTTATTTTCTTCTTTCTAGGTATTACTTTCTCCTGATGAGGAGGAACCTTTAGCTGCCCTCGAAATCGATTGAGTGTTTCATTATACTTACGCTAAATACAAGGTTGTTTTCACGATTTGATCTTCACACAAGTGTTTGTCAATCTAGTTTTATCAGCCATATTTAGCTGACCATATCATGCCCATTAATGCATATTTTTTTTAAACAGTAGGATTTCATAACTTTGAAAATAAACCACTGCTTGCCATTCTGTAAAATGTAGGTCCCAAAATTTAATCTTTTTTTTTTTTTTTTCAAAATGCAAGAAATAAATGCAACAGTAACACTTTATTTATATCCTTTTCATAAAAACAGAATGTTGTTTATTGAGAATCAATCAGGTTTAGATCTTATGAAAGCACAGATGTTGTGAGTTTGTTGCTACTTCACACTTATCTATAACCAATGCTAAATTGTCTGCTTGGGAACAATTTCATGGTTGACAAGATATTTCATGGTTGACATAAGTTCCCATTTTTATACATAACATATCGCTTTGATACATAACAATACAATGAAGAAAAATGTGTTTCATCTAACATTTAAAAGCTTCCCTTTTAAAGTTAAATCATGATAAGCAACCATTTATCCAACATAGTTTATTCTATTATGTATTTTTAATGTTTTCAGTAAGAAAAAAATAAAAAATATATTAATTTAAAAAAATTTGTGAATTACACAATTTTTTATGTTATTCATTAAAGAAAAAAAAAGAGCTTAAAAAGAGTTAAAAAAAAGAGTTAAAAAGAGCTTTTATGAATTAATTTCCCTTCAAGATAAAATAACATTAAAGAATTAACACTAAGGATAATAAACAGTTTTCCCAGCAAAAACTGGTTTTAAACTGCAGACTTCTTTTCTTTAAGCCCAGCACACTGCTCATCATATCTGGGTATGTAGCAAGCTGCATAATGAAATAATATGAATGTTGAAAGTTTAGCTTTGATGTTTTCATCTATTTTTTAGAGGTACATGCTAGGCATTTACCTCTGTAATTATGCAGAGTTGCAGAAAGTCAGCACACCTAAGACAATGTTTCCTCCCCCTTTTTTAGAGTTAATACGTTTCAAATTATTCAATATATTTTCCCAAAATATTACTTTTAAAATCAGTACATAGAGGTAATTATTAAGTATTAAAAATATTTAAGAAAACTGTAATGGATTATCATCAAATACTTAAATTAGAGAAAAGTCGTACTGAAGTAATGCAGCAAATGATGAATACAATTAACATTGCACAAAATTAAATTTCTACAGAAATCAAAAATTATCATTTGAAAATCTTAATAAACTGACATGTTTTATTAATGTCAGAGTATTATATTAGGCTAATATATATGGTATCAGTTAAATAACCCTCTTTCAATACAAATAGGACAAAAAGGACAAATAGAACAATAGCAGAAAGGTCAGATAAATATTTAGATTACATTATAAATTAGAATATGAAAATTCATACATGCATAAAGAAAACTTTTAAATGGTTCATTTTTAACACAAAGTTATAAAGGATAAATAGGAAATTACAAGGAGATTGTAACCAAGTCTTCTACCAGAAACTATAGCATTATTGATAAGGTTATGATGCGTGAGAGTTGCTCCCTTTGGAAAGCCAGTTGTACCCTAAAAATGTAGAAAAACCTATAGTTAATTAATTATAAAGGCCAAAATTTTTAACTTACTATTAAATGTAAAAAGAGCACAATGTATCCTTCAAGTAATACACGAAATATGAAATTCAGCATTATTTATTACAATTACTATTGTTTGCCATGATCAAACCGAGAATGCTATTTTTGCTAAAGCAGAAAATGTGCAATAGAATGGAATAATATTTCAAACAATACTGCATTTTGAGAAATTTGAGATCAGAAAGTAAATTAAAAGCCAGTGACTTAGTGTATTTAAATTACCTCAACAAGCCTTCAGGATGCATCCCATTGTTTAAAGCAGAATATAGGAGAAGAAATAATTATTATTTCTAGCTGTTTAATCAGGTTTGTTACCTTTTATAAGATTTGATATCACGTGAACACTACAAATTCATTCCTTTGATACCTAGATTTTCCACAGCCACTAAAGAATTTATGAGGAAAGATAAATATTATTGAACACATTGGCTGAATAATTAAAATATTATAAACTATTTTACTGTAGAGAAATAAAAAGGCTTCTGTAATAATACATGCCAATGATTATAAGTTACGGAGTGCCTATGGTTCAAAACCATGTACATCCACATCAGAAAAATATTTAAGTAGTGAACAGAAATAGGAAAACTGCATAATTGGTTATCATGATGCACATTAGCTTGAGAAAGTTTAGGGATAGGAAAAATCAAGTTTTGATTTTTTTTTTTTTAGAAGTTTTATGATTTTAAACTTTTTTTTTTTTTTTTTTTTTTTTTTTTTTTTTTAAATTTTATATATTTTTTGGTATTATTATTTTTTAAATTTTATAACACATAAATACGGCACTAAAGCAAAAAGCGGAAAGAAAAGATTTTACAGATTAATAGGCTCATTGGCATATGGCACTAATCATAGTGAAGTAAAGATTAAATTTTCGTGATGAAATATCCAGGGCAGCGGGCATGATGTGATTAAATAGTGAACAGATTGATAAGAATGCAGAGGTGGCCACTTTTCAGTAATACTGGAGTAGGAGAATGGAAGACAGAGCATTTATTTCAAAAGTATTAGAATTCCCTTTTATACGCATATCGCCCAAGAAGGAAATATATAAAGGAATATTAGTAGGATCACTGAAAATAAAAAATTTTCCTTGGTTTCATCTACTAACTTTTATTAAAATGATGCTCATAATAGCTGCTTTGCCTTTATTGAGCATCCTGTACATGTATTTTACCCAGATGAATATTTACACATTTAATATATTGATAGGGACATAATTATTTATTTACTACATTACACAACAAAGATGATGTTTATCTTGTTTTGCAGAACTGGAAGAGCAGTAGTAATACATTACTTTGTAATTCATTTGTCCTAGAAGTCCTTCTTTCAACAATCCTGTCATTATAAGTTGATTTCCAAAATTAAATACTTTAAATTTTACACACATTAATCAAACCACAAAACAAACAATATTTATGCATTTTTATTTATGCATTAACTTTAGAAATATTCACCCAAAGAAATTAAAATTTCAAAATTAAAAGGGTGATGGGATAGCTATCTTAAATAGAACGTACTCTCAATTCTAAAAGCCCTATTCTGTACAGTCCCTCCCCCCCCAAAAAAAAACGTAAATGTAGAAACATTTATCTGCCAATAAGATAGTTCATAAAAAATACGTACTTCATAAACCCATATTCATATTAACATGAATCCACTGAAGATTGATTGCATGGACACAGTTAAGCTGATTGCATATAGTCAGCTCAATATAGTAAGTGTTGAGCAATTACAGTCAAAAGTCGTTAATTCGGACACCCATAATCCGGACCTCAAAGCTACAAACTTTTTGTGCATGAGTTGCATTGACGCATGCGCGTAAGACCTTTACGGCTGCGAATTTGCATGTGCGCGTGCGCAAAATACCTTTACGAATGCGCATTTAATGTATAACGGACTGTATAAGCTAAGCTCTAATTATCTATTTCAGTTAATGTTGCAGATTGCGTTGTTCCTTAATCTTCGAATTGGATCCGGCTTATTATTTGCAGACTGTTAGAGCAATTTTATAAAACTAAGCTTGAACTTTCGATTATGTCAAATAGAATTTCCGATTTATATTTACTAATATGTAACGGATCTACAAAGCGAAAGTATGTTTCAGAGTCCATTAAACAAAAAGTGGAATTGCTGCAAAAAATGGATAAAGGCATATCCTTTGTTTATCTAAACTTTGTTTATCTTTAATTGGAAGTTCATCTGTCAGCACTATCCTTATCTTCAGGGCAGATGTTTTTATTTTATTTGGCTTATAATTGCTTACTAAATGTAGTATTTCATTTCGATATACTCCGTCTTTGATATGATTTAAATCAAATGCCTCGTCATTATAATTCGCTTCCGATAGCGAAGAAAGTGACAGAGGTTGTTGAAAACGAAAAAATTTCGATTGACAAATTAGTCGGTATTCTCGACACAGCAATTATAGGACTTGAACAGCGGAACTTTGTAACTGAACAAGAAATTATGTATGTTTATAGAATTAAAGAGAATGTATTATCACATAAAAAATGAAGCAACTTAAACAAATTACATTAAAAGAAATGTTTAATAAAGTAAACAAATAAATATTAAGCTTTTTTTTTTTTTTTTTTTTTTTTTTTTTTTGTAAATATTGATACACTTTAGATCATAATTGTTCTTTATTTCGTAAATTACGGTTTCATATTTTTAATTTTAAAATTTCTTCATGCCATTTTACCAGATTTAAACTGATGATCTATAATCCGGAATCGCCGAAGTCCCGATGAGTCCGGATTAACGACTTTTGACTGTATATTCCCAGGAATAAACAAGGCAAATATTTTTATTCTCCTGGTGTGACACTCTAAGTTTATCTCTGTGTTTCACATCTTCACTGTCCACAGTTTGTTGATGTCCTTGCCACCAGTGTGACAGAAAACACTGCTTAACACATATTTTGTCCTACATATATTGTTATGGCATGCAGAGATAATCAAATCTTGCAAGACTCAAGACTTCTATCCTATCCCATTTAATACTTGTCAGTAAGCACTACCATGCATAAGGCTTAGAATAATTGTCTTAGATGGCTGGCTTATGATTTTCTAATGATTTTGGGAGTAGTTGTCTTACAAAGATGTTAGTTCTAAAATCTGCTGGTACTTTTTATAGCTGACCATCTTAGGGAGGTAACTGCCACAAAAGGTTTCATAACCACAAAAGGTTTCGTAAACAAATCTGAAAATTTTTGCATTAAAATTATTCTTTATTATTAAATATAGCAATAATCATCGCTACTGAAAACAAGAGTGTATATTATAAATAGAATGTTAAGCAAAAAATATGGGGCAGAAATGAAAACTTAAAATTACAAAATATAGTTTGAAAAACTGCAAAACTCCATAGAGAAACATAATACCGGAAGTAGAATTCACAGCTTCATTTAAATCATTGTTTGTTGTTGTTACATCGAAAACTTTGTCAATATTCATTAATAATAGAAATGCATATTTATCATATTTATTCAATTTTGACTAAAAATAATAAGGAATGATGGATAAATTAAAGATATACACAAGCACACAAGAGAGAGTAATAATAAAAATTAAGGGAAAAAAAGAATATGGAATATTGTTTTTTGCCATGGTCGGCACATACGCTGCCATTGTTAGGCTTACTAGAAGAAGCGAGTTATATATAGAAGATAGTTTTCAGAATGCTTGATTAATTCGCAGCAATCCCTCCTTTAACCATGCATTTGGAAAAAGGGTGGGAATTATACTTAGTTCACTTCTTAATATTAGGAATTTTGTTTTGGGCATTGGTTTTATGAAAATATCTGCAATTATGGAAATGTATTGTGGTATGTTACCTTATGTTATTTTATTCTTTTCCATTTCTCTCAAAAAAAAGTTTAACATTAACATATCTTACCTTCATATTCATTTTTCCATAGCAAATAAGAGATATTGTGGACTTATTGTCTTCAACTATCTTCAATAAGGGTGGGAATTATAGTTCACTTCTTAATATTAGGAATTTTGTTTTGGGCATTGGTTTTATGAAAATATCTGCAATTATGGAAATGTATTGCGGTATGTTACCTTATGTTATTTTATTCTTTTCCATTTCTCTCAAAAAAAAGTTTAACATTAACATATCTTACCTTCATATTCATTTTTCCATAGCGGATAAGAGATATTGTGGACTTATTGTCTTCAACTATCTTAATTGGTAATTTTTGGGGTACTCCAAAATCTTTACAAAGGCCATTTGAATTCTTGAGCAGCAGAGGCTGCAGAAGTAAGCTCAGACTCAATAGATGATAAGAAAACACAATTTTGTCTCTTGCGGACCAAAATATTGAGCTCTTTCTCAAGAAAAGTAAATTTTACCCGGCTGATCATCTGGTGGTTAAATAAGATGCATATTCAGCATTCGTATAACAGAAAAGTCTTGGTGGGCTATCATTTTGCAGGTAAATGTCCTTTGTAGAGTTCAGGTATTGGATGACTCTTAGAATTGTTTTCTACTCCTTCTCATTTAGAGATTAATATTTCCTGCTTAATAGGTCGAATGTCCTGGTCTAGTTACAGTGGCTATGCGTAAGGCTCCGATGGCTTGCCTATATTTGATATTGTCCATTGGTGGAGAGGCGTTATCTTCCCTTGGATAAGAAGTATTATCCATTGGTGTATAAGATGGCTTGTGGATATCTGGACAAAAAGTCTTCATCAATTTTTCTACTTTTGATGTTTGACTCAATAGGAACTTGTTGTTATCTCTTTTGATATTGATTATTAAGTAGTTTTTGATTTCTCCTAAGTCTTTTACTTCAAAGGATTCTTTGAGATATTTGATTAATTTTTTATCTTATCTTCGCTTTTACATGCTTAAGGACATCAACAACACAACAGCTTGTGTCATTTCCATCTTTCTTTAAAAACAAGCATGGATATGCAGCACTCTGTGAAAAGCTGCTCTTCTTTAACACTTCTGTAACTCCTTTATGATCTAACAGCCTGCTTTATGCCATAAAGAGATTTTCTCAATTTGCAAACTTTTTCTTGTCCTGATTGAATTGTTCCTTCCTGCTGTTGCATGTGTATTTCTTCTAAATTTCCATATAGGAATGCGGTAGTGATGTCTATATGCGTTATGTGCATTTTACCATATGCTGCAACAGCAAGAAAGGCTCTAATGGTTGTATGTTGAACTACTGGGGCAAAGGTATGGTCAGAATTAGTTCCAACTTTTTTTACTTTAACCTTTTGTGACTGTCCCACATTGTAATGAATGACTGTTACATCTTCGTTTTCTTTCAGCTTGAAAATCCATCGATACCCAAAAGGTTTTTTTCCTACAGGAAGATCAGCTTGATAATAACTTTTATTTTGGCATAAGGAATTGATTCCTTTATCAATAGTGAGTAACCCTTTTACTTTTTCTTCAGAATTTAGCTTATCCAAGTCCTTAAACTTCTCAGGTATGTTTTTAGTTATGTTTGTTAAAAATTCTAGACCTTCTGGTAATTTCCCCTTCATTTTCCTTTCTGATTGTTCTGGCTCTTTTTCAGATTTTATTTTAGATTTTTTTCTCAGTTTTTTCATCATTCTAATTATCTTAACCTTTGGATGGAGTGAAATTTCAATATTTTCATTCGTGGATGACTTTTCGAAAAATATTATACTACTGACAATTATATGGTTTTTGGCTGTATGAATTCTATAGCTCTTTGATCATTGATTGTTGATCGTAACTGACAAAAGTTCCTTTATTTGCTTTGTAGTATTATTTTCTTTGGTTTTCTTTACGTACATATGTATACGCTGAGCAACCAAATTTTTTACATGAGCTAGATTAGGTTTTCTTCCTCTCCATAATTCATAGGGGCTCTTATTACAAGCTCTACTTGGAAGATGGCTCTGGATGTAATTTGCTGTGTTAAGAGCTCCATCCCAGAATTTGTTTGAAAGTCAACCTTGGGACAGCAGACACCTGGCCATCTCAGTGAAGCTTCTATTTTTTCTTGCACTCACACAATATTGAGGAGGTGGAAAGGAAACATTAAATTGATGTTTGATGCCTTTACTATTGAAATTCCTCTATTTCTTTGCTAGTTTATTCACTGCTGTTATCGATTCACAGAGTCTGTATGGTTCTTCCAAATTTGTTTCTTGTTATACCAACAAAGTCTTTTAATTTACTAAGACATTCACTCTTTTTAGTGAGAAAATAGATTATGGTGTATCTAGTAAAGTCATCAATAAAGGTTATAAAATAAAGTTTTCCCCAAATATTTAGAGTGGGCATGGGCCTGTAAATGTCATTATATATAAGTTCAAATAGTTTGCTTGCATGAACACTAGCAACTTTTGGATAAGAAATTTGCAGCATTTTATTCTTTATACATTCTGAACAGCTATCATTATGACTGCAATTATCTAAATTTTTCCTTTAGAAAGATTTTCTCTTATTAATTGTCTGATTCCATCTTAACTTCGATGGTTTAAGCTTGAATGCCACATTTGTATACAGTTTTTATTTTTACATTTTACTGCAATATTAATGTTTTCTGGATTTTTATTTAGAATAATATTACATAAACTATTTTCACCAGAATACACCTACATAATTATTTGGCTATTCTTTTTGATGAAAGAAATTTCTTTTTAAAAACTATCAGAATATCCCTTATTAGCAATTTTCTTAATGGAAGTTAAATTCCTGTTTAAATCAAGAACATAATGAATATTAGTCAATCTAATTTTCTGCAATTTGCATGCATCCTCTAAATCAAAGTCAACAAATTTTCTACCCTACGAATATAAAAGTTTCCCATCCACTAAATTTATTTTTGCTTATAAATCATCATACATAAACTCTGTAAACAAATTTTTATCTCCTATTAGGTGACTACTTGTGCCAGAATTGGCATACACAATTTTTGTATTTATGATTTGTTCTGAGCAAAACCGTGGAGTAATTATTAAGCCCTTTACGTAGACAGTACTTTCGAGTGGTGCTGATTGAGACCTACCACTCAATTCACAGCTTCTTTCATTAGAAGCGTCAGAGGTCACACAATGTTGGTTCGATTTTCTAACATGTTCGGTGATGAGACTTTCTGATTTTGAGCTGTCAGGATAAGAATTTTTTTTTTTTTTTTTTTTTGTAATTTAAAACAACACTCACAAGTACGACCACTGCGTTTACAAAAGATACAAAATTTACCTGGCCTATTACTACTTGAATTTTTGCATTTATTGCAAATTTAAATGCCGTTGAAGAATTAAAACTTCAATCTGCTTGTTATTCTAGTCTTCTATTGTTTTGTCAGAGAGTTTCCTTTTTATGAGATCTGCAGTTATAAGCGTTTCCTCTCTTGCTTTTAGGACAGTTATCAGAGTATTGTATGATTCAGGTATTGAAACTAACAAAAGTGCGGCTACATGCTGAACCAGAACATTGTTATCAATAGCTTTCAGTCTTTCTACTAAGTCCATCACATGAGTGGTGTGCATGATCTTATCACAGTGTTCAGGCATTTTTATGGAATACCATTTTCTCAGAAGATATAATTTACTGCTCAAACTGGAGCGCTCCTGAACTGACTTTGATTTCTGCCACGTACCAGCGGTAATCTAATGTGGATAATCTGAGAGTCATCAATGCATAGATTTATTTTGCCCCGTACTTGTTTATCCCTCTTTAGAATCCACTATCAAGTTTAGGAGTTGGGGGAGAAGAAAGATCATCCTACTCATCATGCATTAAAGGCACTTGAATCTTGAATTTGCAAGCAGCATAATTTTTAGAATTTAGTTTTGTTATTTGCATTGAATCTATAAGACTTGGCTACAATATTATTATGACAAATATTATTAGTTCTTGTTTAGCAGTTTCAGAAAATTTATACATTATATGCACAATTTTTAATTTTAGTTCCTGGATTTATGAACTTGAATCATCATTTTCATAATCAATGAAGAAAAGATAGCAATCTTTGCTTACCTTTTGTTCATGGGTCTGGCAGCATAAGTTAAATCTCCAAAATAAAATCTTATAATGAGGGATGCGTACTTAATATTAACGCCAATACAGCTGCAGATTTGGCAGTTTTTAAGTGCAGCCAATCTACATCTAAAATTTGTGCGACAAATCATAAATGAAAACACTTTATTTAAAATCAATCAGATTTCGGTGGAAAATGGGCCGATATAGAGTTTAATATAGATTCAATCTGCTGTGGTGGCGTTAACACGTAAGTACCAAGGGATGTTTCATCATGTATCCATTAATAATAAGAATGGATATATTTATACACAAGTCACATTTATTCAATTTTGACAAAATAATAATAATTGATGGATACATTAAAGATATATACAAGCACACAAGAGAGATTAATAATAAAAAAGAACAAGGGAAAAAAAAAGATCAAGGGATATAATTTTCAGCCATGGCTGGTGCATGACTTGTTTGATTTGATGACTATTGCTAGGGTTACTAGAAGAAGTGAACTACAAAAGACATTTTTCAAAATGCTTGATTAATTTACAGCAAATATTTTGGGGATGAGAAAATGCTTCTGATGCCATATTGAAAGAAATTGTAAAAAATATGATTGCCACGAAGTTTATGTGAGAAATAAACATGAACACAGCAATAATCCTAATGCTAATTTAGCATTTACAAAATGAAAGCTCTAATAATAAGAAAGTAACAAAATATATTTTTCATTACTCAAAAAGAGGATATAAGCATTTTAAATAATTAAAGAATAGCTTATCATATGATAAATAACTTTTCATCTATTAAGATACACTATAATATTTAAAAATGAAGATTTTGATCCATAAGATAACCCACACAGATGAAATAAATTGAACATTAGTACATAAAAATAATAAAATTTTAATATTAATGCTTTAAATTGTTACTTACAGATGTAAACTGAATATTAATAGGATCATCAAATTGTATCAGTTTTTCCAGGTTTGCTAATGCTTTATCACTATCAGAATTTCCAGCATTCATAACATCACTGAACAAGAGGATTCCACTTTGAGAAAAACAAGGAATTATTAAGCATATTAAATATTTATTAATTATTTTATCATTTCAAATTTGTATGTATGTGTAGTTTATGTAATTATTAATGACAAATTTCAACGACAACATATCATCATTTAAAATCTAGCAAAGTACTTTTAAAGATAAGCGAGATAAAATAATTTACACCATAATAGATAATGCATCTTATAAAATTACCAATACATATCATTACAATTCTACTTTAACTAAATTGCCTTAGCATAGTAACTGAATATTTCAGAACCATGCTTCTGAAACAAATATATTTTGCTTTAGCAGCATGGTTCTGTATTTATTTCAAACAAACTGCTGTGGCTTAAGCTATGTCTATATGAAAATAAAATTAAGATAAAGAATAGATACTTTGAGAACTATTTTATTTAACAAAAAGTAAACATTTAGCAAACTGCAAAATAAAAATAAACTTTGTAACAATAAAGATGAATATAGTTACATTTATAGTTACATAGTTAAACACATAGATGAAACATAATTATATAGTTATGGCCTTTCTCAAATATAAAAAAGGGAACTCTAAAACAAAATAATTCATGATCTTTCATGCATATGCATCAAAATGAATTTCTTGTAACAAGAAAGAAAATATATTGTTTTAAATTAGCATATATTAATTCTTTTCAAATTGGCAATATATAATTAAAAATATTATCATATTAAAGTACACAATACAAAGATCTTTTTAATTTTTCTTTACATTGGAAAAACAATGAAGTAGAATTTCATATTAAAAAAATTATAGTTAAAATAAAAACAAACAGATTGAAGAAAAGGATAGAATGGGATTTCAAATTAAAAGAAAAGAGTAAGCAAACTGGAAAAAAGATAGAATGAATTTTCAAATTAAAAGAAGAAAATAAGCAAAATGAAATTTAAAAAAAAAAAAAAAAAAAGGATAGAAGGATTTTTAAATTAAAAGAAGAAATATTAATTTAAATAAAAATTAAGCCAGTTTTTATTTTTAAGATATATAATATTGTACTTAAAGGCAAGTTAAAATTATTAAGCTGCCAAAATGGAATATCTTAGCCATTTTTACTTACTCTTTTGAATCCTCAGAAATCATGATAACTGTTTCTAAACTTGGAATACTGTAAAATAAAATATAGTTAAATAAAGAAACTACATTTTAATTAAAATAAAGTTTTCAGATAATTATAAAAATCTTACTTATGACTTTTAAGTCTACCAGCTGCACTTTTAGGCAGTTCAGGTGCAATTTCACATAACAGTTTATAAAAATTCTGAGTTTTTAATATGTCCCATGTTATGAGGGCTTTGCATTCCATCTAAAAAGTCACAGAACAGAATCAAAGAAAATCTTAAAAAATTAAGAACATCGAAATAAGTTATACTAATTAAGTTAGTTAAAGTAAATATTTTAATTTATAATTACATATTACCTTACAAATGCTTTATCAAAGTAATAAAGTCTTACAGTATATTACTTCATCATTCGTAATAAACAAATAAATAAAACACCAACTTTTATTAAATATTTATACAGTCGTTACCAATATCTCACTTCTCTTAGAATCCTTTGATTTCAAACTCGTCGACATTTTCTAAAGCCAAGCAACTTTTATGATATTATAATAATATTTTTATAATTTTTTTTTATTATTTATTAGAATCAGATCACTGTAATTTACATTTATTTGCATTCAAAATCATTTCCAACACAAATTTTAAGTTTAGAATTATTAAAAAATTGTTTTATGAGACAAGAGAAAAAACCCATACAGCTTCTCTCACCTCTACATATAAGTAACAATAAAGAAAAATAAATAATATTTTCTACTCAAACTGATATATGAAAGCGTATGCCCATTAAAAATAATTCAAGACTCACTATTTCTCTCATAAGAAATAAAATTGTCCTAAACTACATAATTCAATGTCAAGGTTGTAATATATTGTAAAATATAATAAAATTGTAATATACAGTCAAAAGTCTTTAATCCGGACTCGTCGGGACTTCGGCGATTCCGGATTATCGATTTTTCCGGATTATAGATCATCAGTTTAAATCTGGCAAGATGGCATGCAGTAATTATAAAATTAAAAATATGAAACCGTAATTTATAAAATAATGAGCAATTATGATCTAAAGGGTATCAAAATTTACAAAAAAAAAAAAGCTTAATATTTATTTGTTTACTTTATTTTAAACATTTCTTTAAACGCGCGCATGCTTACCTTACGCATAGCCGAAATTAGAAAATTGCAACCAGAAAACTATTTGATTTGTATTCGTGATATTTATAATGACGAGGAATTTGATTTAAATCATATCAAAGACGGAGTACATCGAGATTAAATACTACATTTAATAAGGAATTATAAGCCGAATAAAATAAAAACATCTGCTCTGAAGATAACGATAGTAGAGACAGATCAACTTCCAGTTCATTGCGCGTCGCGACGTCCCCCCCCCCACGCAGAGCAGCGTGAAAATGATAAACAGATTTCGGAACGGTTAGATAAACAAAGGATATACCTTTATCCATTTTTTGTAGCAATTCGTTTTTTGTTTGATGGACATCGAATCATACTTTCGTTTTCTAGATCCTTTGGGAGCTCCAGCATCGGAAATTCTATTTGACATAATCGAAAGTTCAAGCTTACTTTTATAAAATTGCTCTTACAGTCTGCAAAAAATAATAAGCCGGATCCAATTCGAAGATTAAGGAACAACGCAATCATCAACATTAACTGAAATAGATAATTAGATAATTTTAGCTTATGCCGTCCGACGCGAAAACGTATTCTGCACTTGCGCAGACGCATGTGCGCAGTCGTAAATGTCGGACGCGTAAAATGCCTATGAGCATGCGTCAACGCGGCGCATGCGCAGAAAGATTTTAGCTTTGAGGTCCGGATTATAGATCATTCTGGATTATGGGTGTCCGAATTAACGACTTTTGACTGTATAATAAAATTGTGCTAAAGTACATAATATTCTGTAAGTTTCTATATCAAGGTTGTAATATATTGTGAAATTTAACGAAAAAATGGCTGAAATGATCATGAAATTGAATATTAATTTATATTTTGCAAATAGTTTAAAATAATAGATTAGCATAAAATTCCAATAAATAACATTTGCTTTTCTACTCAAATTGATGTACACACATTAAAGAAGTGCTTTTCTGAAAAGGTAATAAAATTGTCATAAACTACATAACATTGTGTGTTTCTGTATCAAGGATGTAATACACTGTAAAATTTTAAGAATGGCTCAAATGATCATGAAACTGAATATTAATTAATATATTTTAAATAAATTAATAGATTAGTCTAGTAGGATATGTTTTTTAGCTTTTCTGCATTTCACTGGACACTCAGAATTTCAATGAAACTTTTGTAACTAATCAGTATTTTACATTAGAAAAATAATCTTTAACTACATGCAAAACAAATTCAAAAATCACAGTTAAACCATACAAGACCCACTTTCAGGTTCGTATGTTTAGGTTCAAAATTTAGGTTTGACCCACATTAATTTATAAAACTTCTTTAAAAACCACAAATAAAAATTATATACTCACCTAAAGTTCTGAAAAAAATTCATATAAATTTTTCCGCAGAATTTTAATATACAGTCAAAAGTCGTTAATCCGGACTCGTCGGGACTTCGGCGATTCCGGATTATCAATTTTTCCGGATTATAGATCATCAGTTTAAATCTGGTAAGATGGCATGCAGAAATTACAAAATTAAAAATATGAAACCGTAATTTATGAAATAAAGAACAATTATGATCTAAAGGGTATCAAAATTTACAAAAAGAAAAAGCTTAATATTTATTTGTTTACTTTATTAAACATTTCCTTCAATGTAAGTTGCTTCGATAATACTTTCTCCTTAATTCTATTAAACAGACATAATTTCTTGTTTAGTTACAAAGTTCCGCTGTTCAAGTCCTATAATTGCTGTGTTGAGAATACCGACTAATTTGTCAATCAAAATGTTTTCGTTTTCAATAACCTCTGGGTCACTTTCTTCACTATCGGAAGCGAATTATAATGACGAGGAACTTGATTTAAATCATATCAAAGACGGAGTATATCGAGATGAAATACTACACTTAGTACGGAATTATAAACCAAATAAAAAAAACATCTGCTCTGAAGATAAGGATAGTGCTGACAGATCAACTTCCAATCCGCAGCGTGAAATTGATAAACAGATTTCGGATTTCAAAACATACTTTCGCTTTGTAGATACAAATTACATATTAGTAAATATATATCGGAAATTCTATTTGACATAATCTTTCTAATCTATCATAATCTAATAATGACGTTTATGCCCCCCCCCTCTGCCGCAGAGCAGCGTGAAATTGATAAACAGATTTCGGATTTCAAAACATACTTTCGCTTTGTAGTAAATATATATCGGAAATTCTATTTGACATAATCAAAAGTTCAAGCTTACTTTTATAAAATTGCTCTAACAGTCTGCAAAAAATAATAAGCTGGATCCAATTCGAGGATTAAGGAGCAATGCAATCTGCAACATTAACTGAATTAGATAACTTTAGCTTAGTGTATAACTCCGTTACACATTAAACGCGCATGCGCACAAACATATTCGCAGCTGTAAGGGTCTTATGCGCTCTCGTAAACGCCTGTGCGCATGCGTGAACGCGACGCATGCGCAGAAAGTTTGTAGCTTTGAGGTCCGGATTATAGATCATTCCGGATTATGGGTGTCCGAATTAACGACTTTTGACTGTATTTATTATCACACAAGTATTTTGGACAATGAATGAAATCTTTTAGATCATTTTGAAAATGAAGTTATATTATTTATCAAAATTTATTTATCCTAAATACAATACTATCTAAATCATTCCCAATTTAATTACAAATAAATATAAAATAAAACTGTAGTCATATTTCAACTATTTTTGAAAAGTTGTAACGAATGTTTTTGGCCAAAAAGCATTCTCAATAAAGTTAGAAAAAAACAAAATGAAAGCAGTAACTTTAGTGCAGGTAGTAATCACCACCCAAATCTATGATTTGCTGCCAACATTTTGGTAGTTTTTCAAAACCTTTGGCAGAGCAACTTGTGGCCACAAGTCCAGAAAAAGAGCAACCTCATTTCGGATGTTCTGTGTAGAACAGAAGATAGCACCAGCAAGATGTAGCTGCAGGTGTGAAAAAAGGTAGAAGTCCAAGAGAGTGATGTCAAGACCATATAGTGTGGCAAAGAATCCCCTTCGAGTCCATGCGGAATACAGCCGGTGAATGCAGACACATGTGGTCTTGCATTTTCTTGATAGAACATCACCTTTTGTACCAGAACTTATTTTGATGTTTTTCCTTGATAGCAGAGTCAACACGGACTAGCTTCTCCCTGTACACCTTACTGTCCAGGGTTTTACCATTTTCCAGATACTCTTCATGGATCTACTACAAATCCACCAAATACAAAGCATGATCTTTTTGTTAGTCAAATTGCACTTTGCGACGCTGCTGACGGGCTCACCGGACATAGGCCAACCCCCGTTTCACCCTATGTTGTTGAAGTAAATCCACTTTTCATCACAAATGATGATCTGATCCAGAATTACATTGATATTCGAGGAGATTAGTGTAGGTCGAATATGTCTGTCCTTATATGCTTGAGTCAGCTCATGTGGCACCAAGTGATTGAACTTGTATATCAAGTTTATGCAATGCATAGTGTGACTAATGGACATGGCACTAATGTCTAACTCCTCAGTATGCTCTTGAGTGGTTGCATACTGATCTTCTTACAAAAAGTTCTTGCAAGTAGGCCTCATCAACATCAGTAGGTGGCCAGAGCTTCTGGAATGTAATTTTGGTACCGAAAGTTGTTTGTGAAGTTTTGGTACCGAAAGTTGAAAAACAAGAATGTTTTTCAACTTTCGATACCAAAACTTCACAGTGTCACATGACTTAATGGGAAGATTGCAATATTGATTCAAGTATGGAATCCTGTTTCAACTTACGTATTATACAGTCAAAAGTCGTTAATCCGGACTCGTCGGGACTTCGGCGATTCCGGATTATCGATTTTTCCGGATTATAGATCATCAGTTTAAATCTCGTAAGATGGCATGCAGAAATTCTAAAATTAAAGATATGAAACCGTAATTTATGAAATAAAGAACAATTATGATCTAAAGGGTATCAAAATTTGCAAAAAGAAAAAGCTTAATATTTAGTTTACTTTATTAAACATTTCTTTCAATGTAAGTTGTTTAAGTTTTGCTTCGTTTCATGTGATAATACTTTCTCTTTAATTCTATTAAACAGACATAATTTCTTGTTCAGTTACAAAGTTCCACTGTTCAAGTCCTATAATTGCTATGTCGAGAACACCCACTAATTTGTCAATCGAAATTTTTTCGTTTTCAATAACCTCTGTCACTTTCTTCACTATCGAAAGCGAATTATAATGACGAGGAACTTGTTTTAAACCATATCAAAGACGGAGCATATCGAGATGAAATACTACATTTGGTAAGGAATTATAAGCCAAATAAAATAAAAACATCTGCGCTGAAGATAAGGATAGTGCTGACAGATCAACTTCCAATTCATTACGTGCCCGTCGCGGTGATCCCCCCGCCGAGCAGCGTGAAATTGATAAACAGATTTCGGATTTCAAAACATACTTTCGCTTTAGATCCTTTTCATATTAACAAATATATATCAGAAATTCTATTTGATATAATCGAAAGTTTAAGCTTACTTTTATAAAATTGCTCTTACAGTCTGCAAAAAATAATAAGCCGGATCCAATTCGAAAATTTAGGAACAACTCAATCATCAACATTAACTGAAATAGATAATTAGATAATTTTAGCTTATACGTCCATTATACATAAAACGTGCACGCGAAAACGTATTCTGCACTTGCGCACACTCATATGCGCAGTCGTAAAAGGTCTTACGTGCACGTGTAAACGCCTATGCGCATGTGTGAACGCAGCACATGCGCAGAAAGTTTTTAGTTTTGAGGTCCGGATTATAGATCATTCCGAATTATGGGTGTCCGAATTAATGACTTTTGACTGTATTCTCAAACACTTTTAATAGCATTTGTATTTTGCACTTTTTTAAACATCATATTTGTGTTTGTAACAAACTGTAAATTAATAAATAAAAATAGTTCTTTTTCCCTTTACCAATTTCCTATAATGAACTACAGAAGATACAAATACAATTTTGCCTATGAATTTGTATAAAAAACATGGAAACTGCATGCTGATCTGGGAGGAATGTTTTCTTCATTATCAGTACTTATTCATTTTAACAAATACTTAAATATTTTTATTCGAGAATATAATATATTATGCGTCTTTGTCAAACAACTTATATATAAACTTATCCTCTAATTGTTTGTACTTCTACAAATACTCTTTAACAATATTACAATTATATTTCTGCATGAAACTTTACTATAGAATATAGCCAATGATTTTTTTCCCCTTTCCAATAATATTAATGAAGAAAGATCAATATAAAATACACATTCAATTATTGCATTTTAAAGTAATTTTAAAAACTTGCCTTTTTTAAGCAATACTCCATTTCTTTTGCCTGATATGCTGGATTTATATTAACCTAAATACAATAACAAAATTTAATTAAAATATTTTTTTAATTACATATAAATAAGAAAAAAATTTTTTACACAGAAGTAAAGTAATAAAAAAGATAATTAAAACAATTTCTGTAGGAGGGATAGAGTTTCAGGATAATGAATTTATATTAAAAACATTAATTTAAAGTCATATTTAAAACTTGTTTAAATATTCATTCAAATGTTTTATAATTATATTGTAAATCAGTGAGTGAACTGACCACTGTATAAGTAATGTATTATTAAAGGGTTTGAATACACCATTTAATGTAAAAAATGATAAATATTATGTACAAAAAGAATAAAAATGACATTACTCTAACAAAAAAACAAAAAACAAAAAAACAAAAAAACAAAAATTCAAACCAAATCTCATAACATTAAGCAATAAAATGGAAAAGAAACAATAGAGAATACCAAAATTAGTCCAGCTTTAGCAGTGGCAAACTGAGCAACAGGCCATTCATAGCAATTTGGACTGCATATTGCAATTTTATCACCTTTTTGTAAACCAAGAGAAATAAGTCCAGATGCAAACTTATTGACCTATCAAAAGAAAAAAAAAAAAAAAAGTCTAATTTCTAGAAGCTATGAGAATATAAAATAATGTATCTCTTATAAAAAGTAATATTATATGAAATATAATAACAAATGTAAACGATTTCTCTCTCTACCTCTCACCATTTTTTTTAATCATACAGAAGTTAAGAAGGTATATTTTGAATCCAAAATATTTTGATAAAATGCACTTTAAATAAAAACTACTGAATTAAATTTTTAATGTAACTCTTTGCTTAAATAGCTAAAGATTATGTAAGCAGTCATATCCTATACTTCCAATATTTATACATTATTTCAAATTTTGAAATATTTTGCATTTCTGGTATTACAAAGATTTTTGTTCATTTTTTCTGGAACATTTTTTAAACAGAGCTACAGGATGAAATTCGTGGTTTTAAGATGAATTGTCATTACAGTTTCTTAACATGCAAATATTCAGAGTTGTACAACAGCAAATCATTAAAACCAACCAAGAAAAACAATTATTAAGTTAACTTAGTTGAAAATTATTGCCCTTTTCTTTTTTAATGAAAAAAAAAAAAAAAAAAAAAACCTCTTCCAAATATAAAGATTTGTTTTAGTCTGATAATGTTTCTTAGGGAAATATGCATAAATCAAACCATTAAACTGTAAATTAGCTTAAGAAGTACTATAGATAGAAAAGATTTAACAGTTTAAAAGAACTTAGTGAGGCTTACAGTTTAAAAGAACATTTTCTCACTGTAAGCAAATCCTTTTAAAAGACATTTAATTAGTGATAATTTTATTTCATGATAATGGTGATGCAATTTTATCACCTGGAAAGTTTCTGATTACTGCTTAGGATAACAAGCCCCTGATCTTATACCATCCCTATATCATCCTATAATTTTTCACAATTCTGTTTTCTCCCTTACAAAATAATTTGAATCTTTCTTTGGCGCATACATTTTAAAGACAGCTAAATCTATCATAGGCTGCAACCCATCAAATTAAAAAGCTAGAAAACGTATATCAGAGACATTCTATTTTATTATAAAACTGTCAGATGCATAATAATAATATGGTAGACATAGTAAGATAAAAAAATGTTTGAAAACTGATGCCATAAATCATTATAATGCTAAAACACATCTACCTTCAAACTATGGCCCTTTTTAACAATATACTTCTGCCAACATCCATACAGTTTTTTGAGTAGACCTACACAAAAGTCATTCTTTGAGATATCCTCTAACTACCATCAAACTTTTCAGCTCTTATAGTCTGGAAACCAAACAAACCTTAAATCAGCATAGCAGATTTAAAAGAAATAAATAAATAAAAGTTAGATGACTTGTAAACACTACTTATGGTATGCTTTATGCTTGTAAATGCTGGTATGCTTGTAAACACTACTACACTTTTCAGTGTGAGAGACATGAAAAATTTACTTGTCTTTTCCAGTTCTGAAATTTCTGCTAGCATGGAGCATTCCCAATTTCCACAAAGCTTATAACCAGCTACTGTGTGGTGGTCAAATAAAAAATACTGCTATTCATTCCTTATGATTTTCCTAAGCAACTGAAGATCTTTGTCAGTCTGCAACTTTGTGATCAGCTTCCATTATTACTTACAAAGCTAGCCGGTTTGGCATCACCATGCATGGATCAATATTTAAAAAAATTTTTTTATTTGTATCCAAATACATACAGGATGAGCCTTTTTCGCCAATAGTATTGGTATATATAGCAGATTTGGATTCCTCAAGTAATTTGACATAGAGCCAGAGAAAAGATTGTTACTGTCCTCCTTTTCTTAATCCATTCAACACATTTGACAGTTAACTACGTTAAAAACAGAGGAAAGAAATTAGAGACAATTTAGATAAAGGAGAGTGTCATGACATGATGGCCATGCAAGTGCAGTTTTAACCAAACAGCCTGCAACGTTCTCTCTCCCTTACATTAGAGAAGAGAAGAGACTGTTAGTATTGAAGTATTGAAGGTAACCCGCTGTATGCCAGTGCAATAATGATAAACATGGTTTCTGTTTTTGTGTTGTTCGTTCTTGTTTTGTTTGTGTGTTAATAAAGTATTCGTGCCGTTAAATATCTGGCGAAGCCCATATTATTTAGTTCACATTCCATATTATGCAAACATATAGCCAGAACCTGACCAAGAAGAAAAGATATGACAGAGAGAAACTAGTTAATTCAGAAAAAGGCAAATGAAATGAAAGCTCATAAAAATTTCTGTAGATTTCTATGGAAATGACTCATAAATTTAAATTAATAATTAAACTTTTTCAAGCTATTTCTAATGAAAACAAGGAAAATATAAACTAAATAAAAAAATTAAAAACACACAAACAAAAGACAATAAAAGACAAGTCTTCATTCTTCAGCTTCAATACAATTTTATTAAGCAACAAATTATGTGCTTGTAAGTATTAAAATGCAAACTTGAAAATTATATTTTGTCAACAATTCAATCTACATTACTAACTATGCACTCTCAATTCAAGCAAACTTTTGCATTAAAGTATATTTCTGAATACTATATATATTTCTTACATGATTAAATGCTCTTTTTTAATATTGAATTTTAAACAAAATTAAAAATTAAAAACAAATTAATTTAAATAAATTAAGTAAAATTAGTATTAAAAACTAAATACTAATTTTACTATTTATTAGTTAACAAATTTGTTTTAGAAGTGGAATAAAAGAATTTCACATTTTAAACATACATAATATTTTTTTTTTTAAACGCTATGTGTAAGGATGTATAATTTTATTCCATGATAATGGAGACTACTTTTTAGGATAACAAACCTAATATATTTATCCTTGAAGCACAGTTTTATTAAACCATTATTTTAATTTAAAATTTAATTTCTTATACCAAACTATTAATTTAAATAAAAATGCTTACTAATACAAACAGCAAAACTTTGCTAGAAAATCAATTAGTGAAATTAACATTTGTGAACTACTGTAAAATGTAATTAGAAATTCTAATACATATGTGCATATTAATTGCTATTAAGAAATTACAATCAAGATATAAGAATAATTTACCGATATATGAGCTGTTCTCTGAAAAATCGACTAACTGCACTTTTTGAAATACCTTAAATTAAAGTAGCCATAGCTACTTTATTTTAAAGCATTTCAAAATAAAGTAGCTATGGCTACTTTAATTTAAGGTATTAGCTTCAGCCATAGCTTTTTATATATACAATAAATTTTCCAAACAATAAATATTAACACCATTAAATAAAAAAATTTTGGCTGTTGTATGATAAATAATTTATTTCAAAAGCCATTTTAATTAACTCTGTATGCTAATGTAAATCATTGCAAAAATTTAACTCAAATTCCGTAGCATGTGCTGAATGATAACGACAAATCTTTAGTGCCTATGAGAATTAAATTAAATTAAATTTGTCAATCACAATCTAGTTGCCACAGAATCAAGTATTGTGTTAGAATTATTTCAGTTTAATAGTTATTTTTAAGACAATAAATATTATACCGTTATAACCAACCATTATATTTCATGAAGAATGAGACTAATAACAATTTGGATGTGGAAAATACTGAATTGTCTGATGGTTCCTCAATACGATGACCAAAAAGTCTGTCTCAAGAACCCTTATTTTAAGAAACCCTGGTATAGAGGAATAGAAAGAGGAAATTTAATACCTGCAAAAACAATTTTTTTCTAATAGCAGGTTCTAACTGTTCATAGGCATAGGCCACTACTAAGGCCAGAAGCGATGGTCTCTTTATTATGGAGACACCGAACAGGTAAGCTACCACTGCCTCCTATGAAGGAGAAATTATATCCCTGCCATCTCCAGGATTTGAACTCAGGCCCTTCGGTACAGTAGTCAAACTGACCAACCCACTTTCCCATCTGGGCAGCCCTGAAAAAACATTTGTTGATTTATTATGCAAATCTCATTAGAACTGCAATCAAAACATTATTTCAGATGAGATAGAAGCTACCCATGAAGGCATTTTAAAGTTTACATAGTCAACTTGAGCAAAATATTTTACGTTTTTCTTTGGATTCCTCTGATTGCAACAGTAAAAATATTGCAACAAGCACATTGAATGGGAAGAAACGAGGCTGTAATAATGAAAATCGGGCTGAAAATTTACAGCAGCATACGATAACAAAAGGTTTGGTATAGAGCAGAGTTTCTTAAGTTTTTTCAGTCGTGACCCCTTTTTATCACTGAGATTTTTTTGTGACCCCCAGGGCCCCATAATATTTACAAAAATTTTGTGGGACCCTATTACGTATTGCGATAATTTGACATATGCATGACTGAAACTGTCAATTTTTTCCCTTATACTGTAATATACTATTCCAGTTTTAGGTCATTAACTTTAAATTCTAATGTTAAGACATAGAACAATGGGAAAATTTTAAATAAGTAACAGACGAAATTACGTCACGTGCAAAGCAAGGAAAGTGAACGTTTATACTATAAAAAGAATGCATCGAAATGCTTTCGTTCTTTTCTTTGTCTGTATTGTCTTATCTTTATTTTTAGCTACATTGCATAAAAATATTCGATAATTGTAAAATTATTTTAATACAAAATATCAAAACTGCCAAAATTTTTGGCGAACCCTGCTGCAGGTCCCACCACTTCTAAGGGGGTCACGACCCTTATTTTAAGAAACCCTGGTATAGAGGAATAGAAGAGGAAATTTAATACCTGCAAAAACAATTTTTTTCTAATAGCAGGTTCTAACTGTTCATAGGCATAGGCCACTACTAAGGCCAGAAGCAATGGTCTCTTTATTATGGAGACACCGAACAGGTAAGCTACCACTGCCTCCTATGAAGGAGAAATTATATCCCTGCCATCTCCAGGATTTGAACTCAAGCCCTTTGGTACAGTAGTCAAACTGACCAACCACTTTCCCATCTGGGCAGCCCTGAAAAAACATCTGTTGATTTATTATGCAAATCTCATTAGAACTGCAATCAAAAAATTATTTCAGA